AGCATCTCTCTGTGCAATATTGTCCACAATATATCACAGGCTCTTGATTTTCTTTGTGTGTAAGACAAAGAGATGAGATACAAACAGAAAAGGACAGGGCTTGTGTTGCAATACTGCTGACGTTAGTCTGACACACACACATCCCTCAAGCTTTCACTGTGGATTAGGTTTTTCCCATCAGATTAATACATAATTTTTGTATGCCTCAGTCAGGTCATTTTATTCATTCTATAATCATGAAAAAATTAAGAAGAGCAAGTTCCCTTTAAGCACTTTTTTCTCCATCTTCAGCAATATTAAGGTTCACTGATCTTTATTTTCATCATAGTCCGATATTAAAAATGTAGCATTACAACCATTCCAGGAGTAAGAATTTAGAGTATAGTTGAAAAGATTTATAACAAAAGTTAATGGGACTATTAATACAAAAGCAAGGCTTTAAAGTACCAAAATATGACCATAAAGAATTGTACTAAACTATTGATAGTGAAACTCTAAAGATGGTATAATTGATCTACAGAGTAGCATTAAATAAGTGCAATAAAAGGAAATAGACCAAACAGCAGTTCAAACAATTTAAGCCATAAAGCATAATAAACTACGAATTTATATTATAAGCTTTAAACTGTAGATTGGGTTTATTTCATTTGGTCCAGACCTTCCTTAGTTAGCACCCTTTTAGTATGCTTTTGTCTTGACTTGTGAGTGAGTGCTCAGTCATCCAATGCCCTTTGGATAGCAGAGAAAGATGGCAGCGGGAATGAGTAATCTAAGACACGTTCCAAATACTCAGTGAACCTTCTGTGGCCCATTGATCCTGGAATGCAGCAGCTGCTGAACTGTTTTCGTATTGATTTTCACATTTCTCTTGATACCATACTTTTTGGGGCTTGCGTGATGCTTTCAGTTAGGTAACTTTTAACAGACCTAGCCAAAAATATTAATCACCAAAAATGAGAGCAAAAAAATAAAGTTTTCTGTATCTCTTCGTTTCATGAAATGCCTCTTCATATTTTTGCAGTTTAAATATGATAGCCCTTAATTTTGACCTGAAGTGTCATATTGACTTATAGGTATAGATACAGGGGTATCAAACTCGCATTGTCATGTGACAAATCACAACTTTTTCCCCCTTTCCTAAACTGGGTGAGGCCATGGCCAGTGGATGATGCATCTGGCCTGCAGGCCGTGAGTTTGACAGCCCTGCTATACTGTATACACTTGGTGGTGATGGAAAAGGAACAGAAGTGCAAAATGCACCAGATGAATTACTTTAAATTGTAAATACAGAATGTTTATGTAAACGAGAATACAAAGAACCCGACCATAAAATTGTTACATGTGGGGAATGTGCAAAACTGTACAGAGAACCATTGTGGGTAACTCCAAAATATATTATTCTACTGTTAGACGTCCCACTTATCTACAGATGATCCAGTATTTTCTGAAGTCAAGCTTTCTAATCAAAAGCAATATATGTTGTTCTGGATATAGCATTCTGGACAAAATAGGCCTGGAGGATGATAAATGTTATTTTTTATGGACTTCCATTTGTGTAATGCAATTTGCTCTCCATTTGGTTTCCCAAATTAGCATTGGAAAAGTTCTAGTCACCTCTAGCAGGATTGTGAAGGGAGTACTGTAAAAGCATTCATCCATCTAGAAGACACCACAAAATGCCTCTCATTTGCTACTGATAGACATGAATTTCTTGATAATTTGAAGCTCTGAAGTTTCATATTTCATCTCTTCAAAAGTACTCTTTGCCAAGGGAATTCCACTATGAGGTCAAGCAGCAGAACGCCCCCCCTGAGGATTATATTTTCTTTAGTGTTTTCTGAATGTTACATTTTTGTTTTTGGTCGTTGGGTATGTGTTCTACATACTGTGTAGGTTTGCATTCATTTTTCAATAATACATTTGATCCTAAACTAAACTAACCAAACAAGCCAGATTGCTGAGCCATCCCTCCTCTCAATCCACCCACCACCATATACACACAGAGCCGAGATTAAAACTAACTCAGTGAAGTCCCCCAGTCTTGTTTAAATCAGTTTCACTTGTACATAATAACTGGTTATTTGACCTCTGCAGATTATAATGTGGTCTTGCCCCAGAACTTTTGTTGAATAATATCAGAAACTGGAGCAGTTGGTATAGCATTACCTGACTAGATTTTGGAGACAAGAGTTGATCTTTGTTACACGGCTTGCTTGTCTGGATTGGGACTGTTTACATGGCCTGCAGGTACCAGTGTTCCAGGATTTTTAATATTGCTTCCAATATCAATGTTATCCAGCTTAACTTTGGTGCCAAGAGCCAAAGAGCCTGGTGACCTAACCTCTGCCCTTGGCATCTGGCTTTCATTAGTAAAACCTCTTTTGGGTGCCGGTTCTATGGTTACAAGGAAGTGCCTCCACATTTTTTCATTTTTCATTTTTTTATTTTTCTAAGCCAGGGACCATCCTTGTATGTTGCTCCATTAATTATTCGTTTTTGCAGAAACATTTTTCCTTTGGTTTTCTCTGCTTGTCAGGTTTAGGGTTCACTGGACATTGATGATATATTATCTGCCTCAGGTCCAATATTAAGGGAAAGGTAGAAGTGTTGATCTGTTTCTGCACTATGTATAATTATCCCTGGAGGTTTTTTTTAAAGAAGAGACTGGACAGTCACTTGTCTGAAATGGTATAGGGTCTTCTGCTTCCAGATTCCACGTCCCTTCCAGATTCCATTCTGTTCTGTGCTTTGCTATGCGATGCCATGCCATGCCATGCCATGCCATTCTATTGTCAAAATACATTTACATACCTCCTTGTGGCACAGTGGTTAGAATGCAGTACTGCAGGCTACTTCTGCTGACTGCCAGCTGCCAGCAATTTGACAGTTCGATTCTCACTGGCTCAAGGTTGATTCAGCCTTCCCTCCTTCCGAGGTGGGTAAAATGAGAACCCAGATTGTTGGGGGCAATAGGCTGACTCTGTAAACAGCTGAGAGAGGGAGGTAAAGCACTGTGAAGCGATATATAAGTTTAAGTGCTATTGCTACTTGCACTTCATTAATGTTCTGACCTCTTGCTGGGTCTTTGTCAGTCTTTCCTACAATACAAGAAACACCTACCTATTCCTTTTCTCTTTTCTTGCCTCTCCCCCTACAGCCTCCCTTTGCCCACCTCCAAGCAATTATATCAGAAGAGGGGAGGAGGATTACATAAGTTGTAATGGAAACTTTTCCTCAACCCTTTGCAGGTTGAACTGGGGGAAATCAATAAGCGTGGAATGTAGATTAAGCTTCCTTTACCCAGCAATCACACATTTGTTCTCACATGGCAATAAGGCTTAGGGCGGAAAGTGCTATTGTTCATGCAAATGAAAATGTTATTTTCCGTTGCCCTCAGCCCAGTTGCCATGTAGACTTAGTCCTCAAGAACAAAAGCTCAGGGTGGGATTTAAAGGTATTTCAGACTTCAGAGATTCCCTACATGATATGGTTGCAATGGATGGTAGCTCCTAGACAACCAGGGCTCATCCTGTGTGTGTGTGGGGGGGGGGGGGGGCGATGGGACTAAGTAGGATCAGAAAATGCCAGGAAATTCAAGGTGGTAGGTGAGACTGTGAAGTCAAAAATACATCCCAGAAGATGGCAAGCAATTTCCATATTGCTGTCATGAACACTTTGTGAGCATGTCCATTAAATCTCTAATTGTCAAGATTGATTCAGAGGAGGGTAACAGATGATTCAGAGACAAGAGGTGGGATTCAGCAGGTTCTGACCAGTTCTGGACAACC